CCCACGCTGGGAGGAGAAGAATGGTCTGCCTCTCAACGTTGCCTCTAGGCTTTCCAACTCCACACGTTACCCTTCCTTACGTTTTGAAGGTCAACGTGGAGGTGTTTGTAGAGCCCCAGCAACCCCAGTGGAAGAAGGGGTGTTGGTGATCTCAGGGGAGCTCCCCTTTAAAGATACTTCAGCTTGGTGGGAAACGATTGAAACTGAAACCAGAGATGGAAACCTCAGAATAATCCCAGGAGAAGGTGCCATCGAGAAGGGTGGGGCCACCAGCAGCCTGGGAGATTGCGGGGTAGATGCCTGTTGGGGACGCTCGGTGTGATTCTGGAACCTGAGTTAAAGGTGGTGCTTGTCTGTTGTGAAGGATTCTTCATCAGAGGAGGTTAATTCGAGCATCAAGAAATTCTTCTGTCACAACAATACTTACAATGACATGGCAACCCTCTTCTTTAACCCACAAGAGTCGGCCATCTTGCAGCTTTTTCACCAGGAGGGTGAGTGCTTGGCCCAGGCTCGAATCCGACATGAAATTCAGGGAGCCAGAGTTTTCGTGCTGCGTCTGGGGGCTGCTCAGTTGAGGTTCCGTGCTAGCTGCAGTATTGGAATTCATGCCTGAGAGACAAACACTTCTAACAATCTTGAGGAAATAAATTCTCCAGTGGGGCCGTTGGGAAGCGGTTGGAAAATGCAGAGAATTGTGCAGGTTGTAAGTCCCCCTCCTCTGTCTCTGTGGGACTGGCTGGCACTTAAATTTACCCCGTCCTGGTTTCTCTTGCATGAGGACAGCCCTTCTGGCCCTTGGTATTTCTGTAGAGATGGCCACACTGTCCACCTTCTTGTGCAAAAGCACTCAAACCCGCCCCGTGGCGGAAGGAGAAATTGTAGATTGATTTGGTCCTAGAATTAATGAATTTCCACCCATACCAACGTTTGTAGTAAGTTTGAACCTATGCCACCTTACGTTCGCCGGCCTAAAAGGCATGCAAACTGATCGGTGTCTGTTTCATCATTTAAAAGAACCTCAGTTCCGGGGGGTGGAGCTCCTGGCTGGGCGTGGCCTTCTGTTTTGGGGAGAGGTGTCTGTTGGCTGCTGCTCACCCCCCTTCCTTTCTCCCTTCCTGTTGTCTTCCAGGTACTTTCAGCCCTGTCACGCTCTCTCTGTTCTTCTTCCTGTACTTCTTGCTCTCCTGCTGGACTTATGGGATTTCTGTCCCAAGTGGTCTCTTTGTGCCATCGCTGCTCTGCGGGGCCTCTTACGGACGCCTGGCAGCCAACCTCCTTGAAAGGTGCCCTCTTCGGCTTTTGCGGGTTGCCTTCCCCGGGCAGAGCCCTGCCTCTCTCCTCTTCGCTGCCAGTGTCACGTTCTCACGCGCTGCTTCCTTCCTCCCAGATATATTGGTTTGGACCACATCTACTCCGGCACCTTTGCGCTGATCGGAGCGGCTGCCTTCCTGGGCGGGGTGGTCCGCATGACGATCAGCCTCACCGTTATCCTGATCGAGTCCACCAACGAGATCACGTACGGGTTGCCCATCATGATCACCCTGATGGTGAGTCCTTTTAGCGTTCGGGGCCTCGAAAGTCCTCCCAGATGGTTGGGAGCGATGACAGGTCAAGGCCCAGCATCAGGGCCATCCTCAAAATGTATATTGTCACGGAAGCTGTCTCGAAACACCTGTCCCCCTTCTATTTGCAGGTGGCCAAGTGGACAGGTGACCTCTTCAACAAAGGGATTTACGACATCTATGTGAACTTGCGTGGGGTCCCGCTGCTGGAGTGGGAGGTCAAGGCTGAGATGGACAAGTAATGTCGGCTGATCTTAAAGATGGAAACGTCTGCCGGTTTAGACTCAGCTTGTGTGGCTAATTGGAAAGCTTGCTTTTAATTTAATCCCAACCTTTCTGTCGCCCAAGGCTCAGAGCTAGCGACATCATGGAGCCCAACCTGATGTACGTCTACCCGCACACCCGGATCCAGTCCCTTGTCAGCATTCTCCGCACCACAGTCCATCACGCCTTCCCGGTGGTGACGGAGAACCGGGCCTACGAGAAAGAATTCATGAAGTGGGACCAGCTTATTAGCAACAATATTAAATTCAAGGTGAGTTTAATCCATGATTTCCTTGTTCCTCTGGAGGAGAAACTGCAGCAAATATTGATTGACTCTGTTGCTAAGTTATCAACAAATCAGAAATCTTGGTTCTATGCATAACACATAGCTATTATTATCCACAAGCCATTGTTTGTGAGCTTGTGGGAGCAACCAGGTGTCTTAACCAGCTTTCCAAGGAAGCCCCAGTTCTGAAAAATTGGATCAGATGGTTACGTGTGAACGTTGCCTGTTTAACATCAAGATTTTTAAAAGTAAAATGAAAGCAAAACAGGATTCCACCAGCGGTTTGCTTAAATTGAGATTCCAAGAAGATAAGTGTTCTGTCCTGTGGGGATATCAGACCTTCAGGCTCAACTGGGATGTTGAAAAATTTCCCAAGGAGAACATAGTAGCAAGCCTCCCTGTACTTTTGCAGAGAAATGGCATGGTTGTGCCAGTCAGATCTGGCTCAACTTGGGGTTGTTTTTTATCTGTTTTAGGCATACTAGTAATTGTAGTGGCCACAGTGTGTTTAGATCAGTGTTGTCCAAACTTGGCCGCTTTAAGATGAGTGGACTTCAACTCCCAGAATTCCCCAGCCA